TATTCAAGTTTTTCTTCATTAATCACTTACGGTGTCTATAGTCAGAGAAAAGGGGTGTTTATGGTGATGCAGGGACAGCCCATGAACCGTCCGATAATATTCGGAAAACTTCTCCAGTTACATAAAAGTTAACATGTATATATACAACATATATACTTGTCTATTGTGCATATTTACTGCAGTCGTGCATGGTTGTCTAATAAAACAAAATATTAATGGAACGTGAATTTGGCACATACATTTTAAACCATAAAATATTGTGGATTAATATTTCACACATAAATTTGGACACAAAAAATACATGCACATACGTCACACATGCAAAAGAGAAAACCGAAAACCCGAGAGAGTTTGGAAGGCAGACATTTTTTCGTTACATAAAGAAAGAACATCTACTCGGGTTTCGGGTTTGTTGTTTTGTGGTTTTTATATATATGATCGTACAAAATATTTTAATAACAAGACATGTAGCCATTAATACAAATAGTGTTCGTGAAGTTCGTCCATCACATCAAGATATCCTTAAATAAACATTTTATATTGTGTTTTATTTTTATTATTTGCTTCTGAGAACGTAACAAGGAAAGTACAGTGCTAATCAGTCTTGAAGTCATGTGATTTCGGCCACCTGTTTTTTTCACTTAAGATTTGGTAAGGTTTACATCCAATTCATTTTTATTCTATAAATTAAATCTTATGCTATTGCTTTTAACTAATTTTTATACAATATGTTATTATTAAAAATATTTTAAGTTAGATTAAATATTGATTTTTTTCGCCGTTAGAACCATTGTTTAATTAGTCTATATACACCCAACAAGTATCGTGAAAGATTAGATTTTTTTATTTCTTATTCGCTCTCGAGTGTGTGACGTAAAAAGTAAATTCAAAGAAGATAAAACTTGATTACGTGTTTCCTGAGAACAACGCCTTTACAATTTAGTTATAGAAAGGGTGGCTGTACAGGTTTAGCTAGGATTGTAGTACTTCGTGTGAGATGTACGATTCAACATGAAACAGTTTATAATATCAGTAATTTGGGTTTTGCCATATTTTGGCGCATGTTTAGACGACAAGCAGAGATTTTATCAAAGCGATTATGAGACATCTGGAGCCCTATGTGTTGATGTAAAAAAACAGTTGAATCTGTATTCGTCACCGGAGATGGCTTTAGCTTTACTTTCGGCTCCGGCAGATCCAATTCTAGCCTCTTCTCAACACATTCTCAGCATCTTCTCTGAGAACCACAAATGGCGTCCGAAACGTGCGTTTATGCAGGCTATACAAGAGAGTTCACATCTTTGGAGTGGTCAGTTTGATTCAGTCGAAATGTCCTCTAACAACAATAGCCAATGTAAAGTAGATTTGGCGTACACTTATGAACATTTTACGAATGTTGATGGATGGGCCCTAGAAAGTAAGTTTTGAAAAGCTATTAAACAGTTTTTGTCGTCATTTAGTAAATTAATTATTCCATAATTAATCAATTAATCTATGTACAAATGTTTTATAGCAAAAATTGATTTAAAATCGTCAAATGCAAACGTCAGGTATTTAGAGATTATATTGCCATAACAAGCAGTTTTTGAAAACTATTTGTAACAAAAGTAATTTCAAGAGCTTGTGTACAAACTAGAATAGTTACAAGGTTTTGTTTAACAACAAACTACATAAAGTAGAATAATAGAAAAAAAAAATATGTTTCACTAATTAATATTCAGCAGAATAGTCTCACGTAAGTTAGGTAAATGCACAATAATGTGTACAGTAATGTTAAGGTACACTATTATGGAATATTTCCAAATTTTGATAGATAGAAGTTTCGATATATTTACGCGTCCTCTTCAGCTTAACGTTTGTTTTGTTGGACTGGGGAGTATTGTGTGTTTGTTTTGTTGAAATGTGCGCAAAGCTACTCAAGAGCTGTTTGCGCAAGCCGCAAATTAGAAGTGATAGACTAGAGCAGGGGTTCCCAAACTTTTTAGAATCGCGACCCACTATTCATGACCACAGCTTATGGCGACCCACTCAAATTTACTGGACAAAAACATATGAAAGAATATAGAAAATATTATTTATTCATATTCACGTATTTCAATTACATTTAAAAATACTCACGTATTTCAATTACATTTAAAAATACTCACGTATTTCAATTACATTTAAAAATACTCACGTATTTCAATCACATTTAAAAATACTCACGTATTTTCAATAACATTTCCAGAACTTATAAATGCTATCTAATTGATTAATAATGAGGCGTGTGTGAAGGATGTGCTTGTTTCTTGTTACTGTCAAGAATGGCATTGACATCAACATCAATGTGGGTTAGTTTCAGGCGTAAGGAATTTGACAATTGAAGTTTATTTCGGAATTTGTTTTTGATTCCTACCATTGCTGAAAATCCAACTTCAGAATGATATGAAGATGAGAAAGGGAGAAGTACCTCCAAAGCATCAGTGGAAAGGATTGGGTACGGTTTTCGAACAGACACCCAAAACAGTATCAGTTTTCTGCTGTTAAAGTTCATTTCTAACGAAGCGTCCTCAGATAAATCAAAAGTTCTTCCTCAGCTTTTGTCGATATCCCACTCGTTATGTCAGGCTGAAAGGGATTCATAATCCATTTTTTCTCTTGGATCTTTTTCATTTCTTCAAGGAAATAAAACTCAAAACTCTCTTTCAACTTATTCAAGTGCTCAGATATCTCAATGTTTATATCGTCATCAACTTTTGCTTCATTCTCCATTACAAAGGTTTGAAATGTTTCAAAACAGTCATAATTTCGGTTGTCAATACAGTTTTTTCATGAAACCTCAAATTTTCTCATGAATTGCGAATATACTGATA